CGATGAAGTGCAAGTGTTCAAAAAAAGACATCCCAAAGAGAGAATGACGGTGCTTGACCTGCTATAGGAGCTTCGGAGCAACCGCGCCGGGATCTGTCACGATTCCATGCGTGTAGTGCAAGAGCTGTGACTATAAGGACAGCGGGAGAGCCCACAGATTGAACTTCAAGTTGTTCTACTGGAACACCTGAAGATGGGTAGATGAACTTTATTTGGCCCTTCAGAACGCGCTTTAGCACGTTGTGGGCCGCTCCCACGTTGGAACAGAAAGACCAAGTCTCTCTGCTGCGTCGCGGGCCCTTTGGACTGCCCATAACTGTTGTTCAAGCCCGGAGCTTGTAATAGCACCCTCCCATTTGGACGGCGTGATGACTTCCCCACAGCGTAACGAGGGGCACCGCCAGGGCGTATGTTCCAAGTTAGCTATATCATTGCAACTAACGAGTTGAAATTTTTTCGCACTGTCTCGTTTTGCCCCAAAGGTTGGGGTGAAATGAAACACTCGGTGCCTTTTCTATTTTTTTTTATAGTAAGCTTTCTAAATCAGGCAATATGATCCTATTTATGTGGCACATACTTTATAACGAAAGGAAAGTTTCTGCGTTCATGTTTAATGGCAACGAGTGGAATATTTAATTATGTTCAGTATTTTCACATTTTTGTCTCATTTTACCCACTCTATACCTGAACGTGTGAGAGCTGCCTTGTGCGAACCGCACCGATGGACTAAGGATCACCGAGATAATCTTAGAACCTTCCAATGTGATTACGCGCACAACGCGAACATTACAGATTCTCCTGGAACATACATGGCTGCTAACGGTAACGCTGGTACATTCGACGGCACACGCATAAATGCCGACGAACATCGCCGATTGTGAGCTGATTGACGGCCGACACTCTTCGCCGCTATTTGTGCCAGTGTGAATTGCTGCAACCGGACTTTCCGTTCACCAGCCACCAAGTTTGTCTTAATGAAAAATTTTATTTTGGAGGTACCAGCTGCTGCCTTCGTTGACGTTATGACCCACGTGGAAATACTGACAGAGAATCTGCTTCCATTATGTAGCTACTAAGATTATTCTAGGAAGGGAATGCGGAAAAAAAAATACTTTAAAGAATCATTATGAGAACGAAAAGGTTTTATTTTCAGGTCCACGCCTTTGGCGCATTGAATAGCCAAAAAAAAATGAAATCCATTCGCTAACTTCTACGTTATAGTGCCTCTTAACTAATTGATATAAAATTTTTTCACGTGGTCAACGTTTCTTTCGCATGAAGTGGCTATCTTAGCGTGAGCTTGTAGCTGATTCACTGAGCTGCGTCGAAATTTTTTTAATGCGAAGCATTTCTTAGCGAACTTCGGCGACTTTGAGCGCATCTATCTATCTAGCCACCTACGATTTTTAGCTCTCCTGGCCGTTTCGATAATGGTATCAAAACCAAGCTTGATATGACATAACATGACTGTATGAAGAACATATTTGAATAGTCATAACATGAAAAACTTTACATGTATGTCATGATTGTCATGATTTACGTTTCATGGTCCTGCGGCTGTTGCGTTGGTTTCGTTCACGTGGCATGTTGCAAATCTGGTATGGTATGAAATGATTGTATGCCAAACACAAGCGACCAACCTTAAAATGAGTCATGACATGCGTGTCATGTAACAGCATGACTACATGCTACGCTCATGATGTGCTCGCAGCTGTTTCGCTAGCGTCGCATATACCAAATTTGGTATAACGGTACGTGAATGAATGACAAAGGTATGTGACTGGTGCAAACATGCTAATCATAAGATGCGTGTCATGTAACAACATGACTACATGCCACGCTCATGATGCACTGGCGGCCGTTTAGCTAGCTTCAGTTATACCAAATTTGGTTTTACAGGACAAGAATGAATGACGAAGGTATGATACTGGTGCAAACACGATAAACATGACATGCGTGTCATGAAACAACATGACTACATGCCACGCTCATGATGCGCTGGTGGCCGTTTTGCTAGCTTCAGTTATACCAAATTTGGTTTTATTGGACGTGAATGAATGACGAAGGTATGATACTGGTGCAAACACGATAAACATGACATGCGTGTCATGAAACAACATGACTACATGCCACGCTCATGATGCGCTGGTGGCCGTTTTGCTAGCTTCAGTTATACCAAATTTGGTTTTATTGGACGTGAATGAATGACGAAGGTATGATATTGGTGCAAACATGATAAACATGACATGCGCGTCATGTAACAACATGACTAGCTTGACGTCTACCAAACGGTATTACATGACGCGAACGGATGACGGAGGTATGTGACTGGTGCAAACATGATAATCATCAGATGCGTGTCATGTGAGAACATGGCTACGTGCCACAGTCAAGGTTCCAATGCATTTCGACGTGACGCGGGGCACGTGCTCACCGGAGTTCATTTCGTCGCATCCCGCTGGCGTTGCCACGCCAGGCGCCGGTCCTGTCATTTGCTCGCAGGCGCACGCCGCGCTGCGTCTCTGACGCATGCGCGTTTCTGCGCGTCCGGCGTCTCTGCGTCACGAAAAGAGGGAGACGCAGTGTTGTCTGGGCAACGCCTCCTAGAAGGCGTTGGTCTGGGTAACTCATCGGCGCGACATGCAGCATGTCGCATTTCACGCTGGTTGGCGTCGGGCCGCGCCGGCGTACGCTGGTCGCGCCGGTCGCGCCTGGCGTCAGACTATAGAGTGATCGCATTTTGCTAACGAAGCGTCGCTGCGCCCAGCGTGCGCGCTCGTTAACGCTACATTCAAGTATTCTGGCCCCTTCATGATGCACTCGCGGCCGTTTTGCAAGCTCCACATGTGCCAAATTTTGTTACGTAACGTCAATGAAGGACGAAATATATGACTGGTACAAACACGATAATCTTCACACGCGTGTCATGTAAGAACATGACAACATACCACGCTCATAGTGTGTTCGCGGGTGTTTCGCTACCTTCACATGTACCAAATTTGGTATCACGTTACGTGAATAAAGAACGAAGGTAAACGACACATCCAAACATCATGATCATGACACGGAAGCAATGTACGGCCTCATTTACCTCCACCCCGTAATGTTGTGCTGATTTTAAAGAGACGTATCAACATTTCTCATTCATTCTTCGCATATCATCGATTCTCACTGTGCGTGGGATCTGCAATTTTTTTATGAATGAACTATATGACTTTCTTATAGACATTTTCTAGCTTAAAGATATTACCTTTTGTATAGGGGTGCCAAATTATAGCATTATAGTCTAACACTGATCACTGATCTGTATGCAAATTTTTTCGCAGCCGCGGTAACCAGAGTTGGCATTTCCTTTAAGTAGAGTAATTTTCAGTAAACATAGCTCTAATGTAAAGGAGATGTTCTGAGATTGTTTTATATCAATAAACCAAGATAGTTGTACTGAGACACCTCAGAAAAAATGGTATATTGCCAAAGTTGTACGTAAACATTTAGAACTTTTCTTTTAGTGTTATTCGCATAAAACAGTCTTGTCGAAGATTATACACCACTGCCACCACTGACATCGTGGTGGCAGTGGTGTCAGCGGTGTGATCCGATTCATAATTAACCTGTGTGTTGAGAACATAGTCGTCGGCGTACCATTTTATTTTGAAGGAGATGTCTTTTGTTTGGCATTTATATAATAAAGAAAAAGGAGGGGCCTTAAGACGGGGCCTGTGGGACACCTCAATGCACTGATTGTTGGTTAGATTGACGGCCTTTAAATGCAACAAGCTAGATGTCAAGTACGCTGAAATCCAATTAGCCAGTTCAGAATTTTGAAGCAGATTATGATTTTAAGCAGTTTATTAATGCTTTGCCATGTGATACTTTCTCGAAAGCCTCCGAAAAGTCCATAAAAATTGCGTCAATTGGTTTGACATTTATTCATACGACAAATCATGGATGGTAGAAACTAGCTGTGTGCAAGTGGAGTATTTTTTCTGAAACCTATGCTGGCATTCTGTCAAGATGTAACGAATTAAACAAAACACTACATTTATGTATTATATGCTCTAATTTTCATGTGTTAGATCTTAAAGATATCAGTTAGTAGTTCTTTATAGACGGTTTGACACCACATTTATGAAGTAGTATCACTCGGGCTGTTCTCCAGTCACTCATGCGTTGACGTTCTTCTGAAGGAACGCACGAACACAATGTGCACGCATGTCGAAACCCACTCGGCATACCTTCTTGCGTTGGGTGTATCGCCTGAGCCAGAGCATTTCTTCTCACCATGTCTTAAAAGCATGTAGAATATACCCTGCTCGCTTAATGACACATCACGGATCGGTGACAAAACTGGTCAGCCACATCAGAAGTAAAAAGTACTGGTGAAGACGCAGCTGGTGCACCAAGAAAAACTTTAACCGTGAGCACGCCACAAGTTATAACACTCGAGCCAAAGCACCGCCATCTTCCGGTACGCCGGAAAAGTTTAGTAAATTTTTGTTCCACAGTGCCACCCTCGGCCAGATAATGCACTAAGCCGACGCTTACCGATCGAGGCGCGAGCTTCAAGCAGCCCCGTGCAGACTCGCCAACCCACTGACGTCAACGAACACAGGTGAGAACGAATTATATTTCAACCACAACACTTCTTTTCATTGCCCCATTCCGTAGCTAAAAAAGTTACCGTCGTTGTCACCTAGCCTCGTTAATGTGCCCGAAACCCGTTGACAAGGTAAGCAGTGTCCGTAGCCATGGCTACGGACACTGCTTACCTTGTCAGGGTCTAGTGGTTTGGGTTCCCGCCGTAGTTAGGGGAAGTCATTGGTTCGAAACCTACTGCCAACGCGCAATGGGTGCTGGTGACCGCTGTCCCGACGCCTTGTTCTGAAATGGGTGTGCAACACCTCAGTGTCTTGCAGTAATTGATTTACCAAAACCACCGAGATTACCATTGTTACCGAACAGCGTTTATTTATTTATTTTTGTACACCCATAATATAGGCTTAGCCCACACGCCTGCGCAAGCCCGAAGGAGTGTACAGTTGACCAAAAAAGTTTACGGACCACGCGAGCGGGTAGCCAAAAGTCTCTTCGGGACGCTTCCGCAACGTCATCGGCCAATCAACTGGATCGCAGCGTCCGATACGCATCCCTCCCCTATGGCCTGTCTGTTTTCTGGCTGGGTACAAATACATCTCAGCTTTCACTGTTTAACGCGACACACTTTTTTTGGCATGTGCGTCTATGTGCTACTGCCTCGAGAGCAGTTTATGAGCACAACTGTTATCAGTCACAATTTTTTTTATCACAGTTGATACTTAGCCAACGTAACGTCATTGGAGGCACGCCGTGATAGCGCTGCTACTGCTTTGAAAATAGAAAGGTGACGGTCATACCGCAGATGAGCGCTTCGCGTGAAAACTGCCAACTAGCAATGCGCTACTTAGCGGTAGAAAATTGAAAAGCTAGTAAATAAGAAGAATAAATAAGCCATAAATAACACCTTAGTGCTTCCGCCCTAACACTGCGGTCGATGGTAGATGGCGCATGCATCACTAGGTGGCACGGACCGGCAGTTCGGCACGTGCTTGCGTGGTCCGTAAACTTTTTGGGTCGACTGTACGTGTTGCTTCACCTCTAGACATTGCACGTTGCTCAGAAGGTGCACTCCCAATAATAGGTTGACCTTCGACAGATACGGCTATCGACACATACGTAGGAAAGTCAGAAAGGCAACTCGGCTTTTTCGTCGTATCTCTTCAGCCAAGCATCCTTGTGGGCACAGATATACAAAAACGGTGAAAGAAGGTAGAAAGCTGATTCCAAGCTCGATATGCAGCAGTGTACAGTGTTCAACGCAGAGTGGTTGTTATGTTAAGCCTAATTTTGATATAAACCTTGTAGAAGAAGACAAAGCAAGATAATAACTCCAGTTCGTGAAAATGGCGTACATTGATAACGGAACACATAAACAGGGTTGCTGTTGGGTGGACTTGCAAAGGCGCAAGGAATCAAGCCAAAAGTAGGCAATGTAGCCGCGTCATTTGATGTTATCGTCAAATGTGTAGCCAAATTGAACTGCACTTGTATAATTAACGAAGCTTTTACTACTGATGAATAAATGAAATCATTTTGAATAAGCACAACCAAAAGTAGCAGCACAATAGCCATGGCGCCAACTGGAAATTTTCGTCGCCAAATGGGTTGACAAAAAGCCACTTTGGCCCTACGTTGCCAGCGGTGGCAAGACTGCACATAAATATCTTTTGTTGTATGTACCAGCACAAGCTGTTCTGCTATCGTAATATTTTTGTTCTTTTGCGAACGGTGCACCAATGCAAGATCACTGGCCGTGTGCGTATAAAATGTGCACACGAGTCCCTTTGCCCTCCGACTAAATTGGCCAACATGTCATTTACCTTAGAAGGACATGCAAACAGACGTTGAGCATTACTCACCCCGATTTGAGCGTTCGGAAGACGTTTCGCTGGACACTCATGCCAACTCTAGTGTTCTCGCAGATAATCTTGGCGAGGGTCGTCTCCCTTATCGTCCGCAGTTGTTCTGCAGCAAAAGTGAGGACGCAGAGAAGTACATTAGTGGTGGTTATCTCATTCATTTGTTTGATTGCTCCGGTGATTGATCTTAAATGAAAGCTTCGGTTGAAAAAAGCTTGAAAAAAATTTTGGCCCTGGTATCTGCATGTTGAACTGCAAATGTAGTCGAAAAACGATGGTCTTGCTTGTGGAGAGAGTGAATATTTCTCTTCACTACAGTTTATTGAAGGTTCTGCTCAAGAAAATTGGTGAATTGTATTGTGGAAGCGCTGCATTAGAGAGTCTCGATCAGTGCAGCGAAGGTGAACGAGCGCATCGAGGATGGATTGATGGATGGACGGAATGATATGGCTGTACCGTTTAGATTTGGCGGTGGCTAGCGCCACCAAGCCGTAATAGTTAGTGTACCAAGAACTAGATTTCTCTTTTTTTTTCCTTTAAATAGTGAGGTTAGGGAGCGGTACTTTACCGTGAAGGGCTTAATTTTCACTCGCGCCTTGACTCTAGCCACCAATCAGATAACCTCCTTCTAGTTATGTCTACTTGCTTAAAGTCTATTTTGCCCTCCCGGTCCCTAAACCCCAGTGCTTTGAAAAAGTCTGCGCCATCATCCTGAACTATAGGGTGAAACCCTTTACAGAACATTATCATGTGTTCGGCAGTTTCTTCTTCCTCTCCACACGCACTGCATACTGTGTCTACCCCTTCGTATTTAGCCCGATATGTCTTGGTTCACAGTACTCCCGTCCTAGCCTCAAACAGTAGAGAACTACCCCGAGTATTATAGATCCTTTCCTTGGCAATTTCCTGCTTAAAAGTTCGATAGATCTCTAGTGCGGACTTCTTAATCATGCCCATTTTCCACATGTCAGTCTCCGTTTCCTTCACTTTCTTCTTAACGGATAGTTCTTTTTGGTTTGGCCACCTGCTGTTTTCTAAGTATTTACCAGTCAACTTCCTGGTTTGCTTCCTCCATTTTGTATCGACATTCTTCATGTACAAGTAGCTGAATACCTTCCTAGCCCAACGCTCCTCCCCTATTTCTCTCAATCGCTTCTCAAATTTTATCTAGCTGCTAGCTTCCCTGCCCTCAAATGATGTCCATCCCATATCTCCTTGTACTCCCTGATTTGGGGTATTCCCATGAGCTCCTAAGTCAAGCCTACCTATTCCATGTTGCTTAATTTCTAATCTCGCTTGACCTTCTGATATCATACACAAAACCGCATTGCCGAACGTCAGACCAGGAACCATGACCCATTTACATATTCCTCTTACAACATCATACCTATTGTAATTCCGCAGTGCCCTATTTTTCATCACTGCTGCATTCCTGTTACCTTCAGTCGTCACGTATATTTCGTGTTCCCTTAGGTACTCAGTCCCATTGCTTATCCATACGCCCAGATATTTGTATTTATCTGTTATCTCTAGCGTGACCTCCTGTATCCTAAGCTCACTACCTTCGTTATCATTAAAAATTATGACTGCTGATTTTTCCTGACTAAATTCGAAATTTAACCTGTCTCCTATTATAATTATCTCCTAGTATATTATCCCGCACTCTCTTCCTAATTCCTCAGTGTCCTTTGATATACACTGCACCATTGCCTACTTTTCCTCTCTGGTCTTTGCTTCCGTCCACATGTACACCAAACCAAGGAGTGTCATTTGTCCTGCCACTTTCCCTTTTTGCCATAAATGTTCCTTGCACTCCTGCTTGACCCTTTGCCAGTCTGTACTGGTACGTTAGGCACGAGCGCCATCTGGCAGTTATCTTTGAAAACGAAGGAAGGTGTGAGCGCCCGTGGAGAAAGATGCGCGCCAGTCTCGGAGGCGATAAAGAGTAGAGCAGAAAGCGACGGGCAGGTGCCACCAGCGTGTCGTTTTCGCAAAGCGTTGGAAACACTTGCTGCTTTGAGCATCGCGTTGCACTGTCAGCGCAGCGTGATAAACGCTATGGTCCTTAGAATTACTTGCGTGTGCCTTCTTTAGTGTAAAGGAACACATACAAAACATCGGCGTGTTGTTATGGTGCCTTATATATGCGCAGTGTTTGCTCTTTAATTGACAATCGCACAAGTATGAACGCTGAAACTTGAGCAATATTGATGGGTGCTGCGGATGGGGTTGGCCGTTCGAGGTATCGTTCGGTGCATTTAGGGGATCGTTACCGTGAACAAACAGACAGATCAATATTTTGGCGTCAAAGGCCCCGAAGAAAGACTATTCGTCTTATAAAGTATCACTACGTACAGCTGAAGCGTATTAGCCTAATTACCGCGAAAACACATCACCTGAGTGTCGCTAACCGGTCAACTTCACTGCTAAATGTAGCGCTTACGTTTCCTGTTCACTATAGAAGTGGTCAATATTTTTCCCATTGCTCTCTTTTTTTTTTTGTCAGTTTGAAGCCGATGCTGATATACTTCAATACACCTATCTATACTTATTTGCTGCTGTTCCTCAAGAGAGTGTGAACTATTTTTACGGTACATCTGCTGTTAGAGTAAAAAATATTGGCACTGTTATTGACTATGATGTCTCACTTCGCCTAATGCTACCTCTATGAAAATTATTTCAACGATTTCAAAATTTAGCTCTGCTCTACTATGCAGCTCAATTTTTCTCGGTCTGTGTAAAAGAGTGTGCGCTTTGCAGCTCTTCTAGGCATTACATAAGACATTTTTTGAAGCTCGATTTAACGAAGGGATAACCACGCTCAGCTGCCTTCGTTAAATGGGGAGTTTCGTCCGATCGAGGAAACGATTGCTTGGTCCTTCAAACTTTAAAATTGTAACCTGAAGACCGCGAAGAGCACCGTTTTTTGCAGCAAGACGCACCTACCCGTCTGAAAGGTTCACAGTCCGAGGGCGGCTTCGACTTAACGACCACCATGTCCGTGCGATGCCGGCCAGGCTATCAAGGGAGCGTGAAGCTATGACAGGCTATCATAGTGCGATAACGCAGAGAAAGAACGCTGTGATATTGCGTGCGGTTCTCGCGAGAAAGATGCGAGGAGATGCTTATTGATTACCTGTCACATCAACCATGAAATAACCGAAGCTCATCAGCACATTTAGCACCATCGGGTACCTAAGAGCAATACCAACTGTTGCATCCGTTATTCAGTCCACTGATGCGACGTCAGCCTGGTGAAAGTAAAGCTTGGCCTGAAGTTAAGGCCCGCAATTTTCATCAGAGCGATAACGTGAAAACGCATCCAAGGAAACTTATCTGCCACGGTGATAATTAGCAATAAATCACTGCTTTTTCAGTTAGTTGTTTGAGGAGAAACTCCTGTAAGTGGGGTTTGGTGACCAAAATAGTTCGTTAAATCAGATTTAGGGCCACAGTGATGATTCCTGTAGTTATTTGCCGCGGAATGACAATTTATTTGTTAAATGGTAAACTTCGTCAATGTGAGTTTCATTTAATTGAGCTTTAATTGTAGTCCGTAGTGAAGCATACGTGAACCCCGAGGCTAAAACACGCGATTTTGTCGTTCCTGATGCGGATAGTCGGAGTGGGGTAGTGACTTGCCTGGCGTGAATGATCCGGCCTGCCCGCCGTGCTCGTAGTAGTAGCGGTCCCCCCATTTCAACCTGGCAAACATGTCGGCCACCACGCAGAGGAATGTGGGTCCTATCATCGCTCCCCGAAGCGGGTGCTCGTTGAGGCCGGCCGAGAAGAAGTCGATGTCCCGAACATCCCTGCGTCAGTGTTCATGACGAAGGCCTGACAAATGCATCGATGCACTCGCATTCGTCAACGTCGAATGCGAGTTCTACCCTATAACTGTCGCACACGTGACAGTGAGCCTACTTTGGTTACCCTGTGTCGAGTGTGTGGTTGTAACGTAGCTCTAAACATACCTGTAAAGAGATTGTGATGCAGTAGTTGAAGACTTAAGTGGAATACACGCGAGTTTTGTATTTGTGAATCGCGTGAGACATGTGTTATATATGCATGCATGAAGGGAAAACGGGGACATTTCTTTTTTTCAAAAGTTTCCTTTCTTTGTCAGACAGAGTCGAATGTATCCAGCAGAAAGTTAAGCGAATGGAAACAGCGAACATTATTTGCTGGGTTTCTCTGTATTGTACAATAACGAAAACTTAGCTTGATCCTACATCACAATTACACTAGAGTGAAAGACGACAATTATTGACCCTTGTGCTTTCCTCGGCCTAGGTGTCTGTTTGATTCGTTTGGTTATATGCACATATCAAAGATAAGCTGCGGAGCGATCGTGACACTATCGATCTGTTATTTATGTCACTGTAGGAAGCAAACCAACGCAATAACTTTCTATTTATTCGGCTCATCTTCTGCGAGGCAAATACATTTAATACCCGCAAGATTTCTCACTTCTTGACCCAACAAACATTCCACCGTAGGTGGTAGTGCATGCAATCTTTTGGAATCCATTCTGCTGCTGTATTTCTCCGTCGTTTATCTTTCCCACACACTGGGATGCCCGCTTGGCGACAAGTCTCTCTTCGAATGCCGGATATAATAGTTACCACCCGTTTTCACACTGATCCACTCTTCATTAATTTTGCTTCTTGCCTTCTGCCCCAGTTTTTGCCCCCTGTATCAGTTGTGAAACAAACTAATTGGGCACTTTGGCTTTTAAGTAGCTGCCATTTGTTAAAGGCCAACTGCGGTTATTTTTCGAGGTCAATGAATCTCAATGGGATTCACTGGGTACGTTTCTTCGCACATTTCCGTCATTTATGCCAAATTACACAGGCTTGAGAGATGTGCTGATTGTTTACGAATGAATTTTAAGAATTGCCTTGAAAAGTTCACCTGACTCGCCAGAATTATTGGCAGCACTATTTGTGTGACGTAATGTTTGGCATGTCAACAGCAGCGACGCAGCTGATGGCATCGCTACTTAGGCCGCTACAGCGTTTATTGTGCTGGCCACGAGGCGACGGCGGTGGTGTTTGCATGGGTTTAGCACGGGAAAGCTTTCTTCCATCCTCTGTGGTGTTTGGCCGGTGGTTAGCTGGTCTAGATTTCACAGTTTTGATACACCGCGCCTGCGGTTATTACCAAATAGTACTTCATACGCAGACAGGACGTCCAGTTGGCTTTCGGTTTCGGCATTGTACATTTTTGCTTATTAAAAATTCAAATTTCTTGAGCAATTGCGCTATTGGGCTCGCGACAAGAGTGTCTCAGGAACTCGGAAACACCGTTACCTTGACATGGTGGAAAAATCGCCGGAGTTGTCCTTTTAGGTTGGCCGTCAGCACTACGCCGACATTTTTTTCTCTAAATTTCATTATTGTGAACAGCGTCTTCTATGGCTAAGTAGCCTTTATAGACATGCTCTTCTGCATAGTGTAGACAATAACTACCAATCGTAAGAGAATCCGGCCAGGCTGGGCTAGTTGTTTTGTCATCTTCAGAGACCACTACGTTTACTTTACGTCTCAATGCATCGTTAACTATATGTTAGTTTGACAAAGCACTCAAGCTATCTTGCTCAGCTCTCTGATTAAATATAAGCTAAACGTTTCCAATCATCGAGTCATCGTTATGAGCGAACTGACACTTTGACGAGCAGGATTAACCATTTTCAAAATCTTAAAGCTAGCTTTCCTCCTATGCAGTATGAACAACCAATTTCGGCAAATCTCACTTACTGCAAACCGCCCATTAAAGTGCGGATTTCCTACACTCTAACGCGGAAAGTGTATAGTCGACTCTCTTGATATAAACACACATAGTAGACGAGCCCCAACACGTTCTTCTATAGGACCACGCGTCTGCTTGAAGCATGACAGGGGCCGCTATTATTTGGGCAAATATGCAGGCAGAGAAACGCACTTGCGCATGATGATAAGGAATTTTTAACTCACCTAACACCCGTGTTTCTGTCTCTTATCAGCCAGTGCTACCATACGATAATTGCCACAGAAATCACCTTTACTGCAGTTTAAACCACCTTCGGCCACGTGCAAGGCGATCTCTGTGGCTCCCGCAGTCGCAGATATCGTGCCTCCAAAGCGCCAATTTCGGGCCTTCCACGCCATGAGTCCTATAATCACACTTCGTGCTCATTCAACAGCTATCGTAAATTACGCATCACGAGAATTTTATGCCTACATATTTACCAAACCCTAGAGGCTATAGAAGATTGCCCGTTTCCGCGAGGATGTGCCGCTCGGTGTGACCACCAGGCCCACAGAGCCCTAATGGCGTCTTTCAACAAAACTGGTTCGGACCCGCGTTTATCGACATGGTTTTTTTTGCGTGAATACTTATTTGTGTTTACGTCTGTGTGTTATTTAGTTTTCTTTCCTCCTACCTTTATTTTCTCGGTGTTTTCTGTTCCCGAAGAAGCAGGCAGGTGGTGTGCCCCTCCAGGTGGCAGTTGTCAGCCTGTTTCCCTCCCTATTTCCTTTGTGTGTCTGTTTTTTTCTGTATATCTAAATTAAATAATAGAAACCTAGGAATAATATCCTGACTTATCGTCTCCATAAGACCAATAAGACCACTGAATACGTGTCGTGCCGGCTGATCCGGAGACTCCTTGCAATCCATATATACTGATATGATATTTTGTCGATACGTCGATCGTCGATTCGAGATAGTAATTTAGTCATAAATCACTAGTAGAATATTGACGAAAAAAACTAACAGGTGTCGATATGTGCATCGAGCCCCGGGCGTTTCGAAAACCTTACAAATACACGCGTTTGGTTTGCACAATAATTTATTTATTTCGCAAAGGAATGATCACGTCATCTAACACGCTACATCTGTTTCAACTAAGCTCCACTGCGACTCCACGACAGGAAAACTTACTCGTAAATCTCTGAGTACAGGCGAACGGTGTCTCTCGGCATCAGGTTGTGGCCAACGAGATCCTCGAAGCTCTTGACGGTGACGTTATGACACAAGTGGGCGTAGTCCACGTACGGCCTGATTCCGTGGTCCCGACCCCTCTGAATATCGATAGCGAAGAGGTCCTGTCCGAAGGGCTTGTCTGGCTGCCGGTGCAGGTAGTTCGTGATCGCCTTATCGCCGTACCTGCGGGTCACGTTACGTACATGTTGTCACGTTCTGGTGATGGTAGATAAAACAGCAGGAAACACTTCATTGAAGAAGGGTATTTTGGTTGAATTTGAGCCTGCAACCACATCGAATCAAACACGACTCAACGAAGGCGGCAACACGTGCGAAACGTAAACGCTCCTGTTGAGTCTCTTCCTATTAGTCCTTGTGTGGCTTCGCGATAAAAAAGTTTACTTCATATTGCATGAAAATGTATGGCATTCGAAATAAAAGCACCGTTACCTGTCAGTAGCTTGCCATGGCTCTCCCATGAGTCCGCGCAAAGTGCAGTCTTCCTTCAGGTAGAAGTCAAACGGTTGGAAATAAACATCCTTTAGCGGGGTCGCGCCCCACTGTTTGCCGTTCGAGCGAAGCCTGCATTTCAAACATGAGAAACTGTATCACTCTTCAGGGAACAGATGTCCTTGATGTGATCTAATTAATAAACACACGTTCCAGAGACTGCAGCGCATCTTCACTCCCCCGAAGAAACTTCGCGTGAGTAATATGACATCCAGCGCAACAAAGACAACTTTAAATGAGCCGATAGTTATAGCGAAAGAACAGAACGACGTCAAAGAGACAGGAAGGAGACTTGCGTACCCTCTTCGGCCAGTACTCGGGAGACGGTTTGACTGATATTGTCGTCGTCATGTTCTCGCGCTATAGATATCATGTCATACCAACTAGCCCAAACCACCACACTCTTAAGTTAAACTAGCATCAATGATGGCGTGCTCACAAGCTGAAGAGGCCTTGTACGTTTGAGTGACCGAATCGAAAGGCAGCCGAGCTGAATTCGTTGGCAATGGTTGGATCCACACGTGCGTTGTACTTGGTGTATCCTTCCCCGAGTGGCCTAAGGTTGTAACGGGTCATGGCCGTGCCCCCAAGTATGACCGGCAGCCATTCGTTGAACACGATGTGTTGAAACCGAGATTCAACAATCCTTCTGCAAAAAAATATGAAGAAAGAAGTGCGTAAAGTTTATATCTAACATTCGCGAAAAATATGTAACACCATCCGTTTCCGAACCTAAGGAATGCATCGTAAGCTTAAATCATTTCGCGTACTCTGAATGAACGTCTTCAAGGTTACTCAACGCACGACATTATGTGGCCCGCTTGAAATGTTGGCCCGTGTCAGTGACTGGAACACTTCAACCGCAGTTTTTGAATGCGTCCCCTCTTCGGTCATTACTCGAGATACGTGTCAGGTTGCTTTTACAAATATTGTCGCCTTTTGAGCAATACCTTTTTGTTTTCGTGCGACGAGAAATTATAAGCCACAACTAATAGGATCAGTAGATATTCAATAAAAAAGGCTATAGGGGGCAATATTTTTTTTAATTTTAACAGTAGTACGATGGTTCTTGCGAAAATTTGAATCAATCGAATTCAACGAAAAGTAACCTTTTCTATTGGTGGGAATAATCCATGCGACGCGCAATCGATAGAGCATTGGGCGAGTAATTGCAATAATGTGAGCTCAGACAATATTGACCAAAAAGGTGATGTTTTGTCCCCTTTATTGCCTTTCAATTTGCGTGAAGATCATTTTTCTGCAGGTTAAAGAAACACATATAATATCTTTTATGCTTTCCTTCACTGCACTGTCGGTTGGTGTCATTATTTTTGTCCAACGGAGAAACATATATTCCTCCAGTGATTCCGGTTTTTTCGAGAAGACATAAAGAGAAAGAAAGAAAGAGAGAGTCGTCCCAAAACTAGTCGCGACCCACAACTAGGCAACTGTGGCGGATTTCCTTATCCATCTTCATCGCATCACTTCATTTTCATTAGGATAACATTTTTATTTATGTATTAGCTTCCTATTAAGGATGCACACAGGCGCACTTACTTCGTTACTTGAAAAATGCTCTCGTCATTCCAGCTAGGATTATTTCTAGCCAGCGTGTTAGCGATCCTGTTGTGATCCTTGAGAAATAAGGTATGCAGAGACATGAGACCTGGATTTTGGTTGCTCCTGAAGTCACCTGCGAATGAAGTTAACCATTCTCTTAACGTATTTTCAGTAACTACTTGAAAAGCCACATGCTAAACAAATTGTGACATTGGTGTTAATAGAAAGAGGTTGTCTTGAGAGAAAGCATGCATGCTTTGGTTAAAACCGCATCATCACCTTCGAGATGACCGAAAATTGCCGCGTATGGCATCAATGGGCACTAAATGTGGTGTTCTTAAACAAAGAACCAAGTTGAACTTACTAAATATTTGTATTTTTATATATTTATATTTATATTTCATTTCGAAGCCTTGCAGAAAACACTGACAAAGTCTATAGTGTCATAAATAATTTCCTAGAATAACCCTTTGTCTCGGAACTCATTTTCGCTCAAGGGCATTCGCTTTGTTGCTACTTCCTGCGTTGTTTTGGATAACAAAGAACAGCTAAGTGCAAGCAACCATCAGAACGTCCCTGTGTTTGGATTCCACGTAACCACATTATAAATATGACACCATGGAATCTACATTTCGTGGCGAATGAAGCTTAAATGGTTGTTAAAATGATTTATTGCCCTATTTAGGAGATGCGGAACAATCCAACAAAGTTGTGAAGTTTTTTTTTTAAGTTTTAAAACACTGTTTTTGCGAACATAACTAGATATTAGATGAGATTCATATCAGTGATTGTTGGTCCTTTGACCCTTGTTGAATTTTCGGAACATCGTCTTTTTTTTTTAACTCCGCACTCACAGAATATAGCACTCATAGACGACAGTCAAGACATCTACTTTCAATGGTGCTGTGACATATTTCTGCGTGAGAAGTCTCAAAGTACAACCTCGAGACGGTTGCAGCGAATCGTTCACCTGAAAAATTATCACTAAAAACTCTTCATTTGCAGTAATTTTCTGTCATTTTTTTCTTGCTTTTTGGAATAATAAGTGCATGCGCCGGGCAGACATTACTATAACGGGTGTAGGTGACAAACAAATATAATATAGAATATAACGAACTCTACCCATACAGAACTAAATTAAATGAAAGGATCAGCAAGTCCTACCCACACTAGTGAAAATAATGTAGAAAATTTTAAATATGCTTGTTGTGCTAGGCATATTCAGACGCTTTGTTTCTTCATCATCACTGCTCATCATGTACGGGATGATGACAAAGTATTTGTTTATGTGCTGTAACCCCATCTTTAAGGCAAGTTGTTGTTTCCATGATTCACTAGAAAAAAAAAACTTCAATACTAAAATTCAAAGTTTCGTCTATTTTTGATTATCTTATAATTCCTTTGGCAACCACTCGTTACGTTTATTAACGTACTTGTTGAAAGACATTCTCGAAAAGCAACTCCTGAATATATATGAAGAATCTCGAGGTGTAACCTTCTTCTATCCAATCGTAATACTAACCGTATGCATCAAGTGAGGTACACGTGGCAGACCCATGAAAGCCTACTAATTTACCAATTATAAGTTAAATATAAATATTTTATTCTAAACTTAGAAAATTATTCGTATTCAGCAAAGTATTTATCTTCCAAGCTGTTTTTTAGTTTGTTTCATGAATTCTTAAACACGTGCAAGATAAACAAGAAATGTAATGACAGCATCCTATATCGAAGTGATGATCTTTAGTACAGCTTTAGCCCAGCCGTGGTGCTCCCGTGGCTAAGGTACACGGCTGCTGACCCGCAGGTCGCGGGATCGAATCCCGGTGGCGGCGGCTGCATTTCCGATGGAGGCAGAAATGTTGTAGGCTCCTGCGCTCATATTTCGGTGCACGTTAAGAACCCCAGGTGGTCGAAATTTCCGGAGCCCGCCACTATGGCGTCTCTCATAACCATATCTTGGTTTTGGGGCATTAAACCCCACATATCAATCATGAGTACAGCTTTAAATCAGCAGCATTGATTAATTTCCTACGTACCAGTCTTGAAGCAGATCTTGCCTTCACTTGGACGACTGCATCTGTCGTTCCTAGGTTGCAGACTTGGGGGCAATCTGACAGAGCCCTCTACCTCTCGATATTTCAGCAATCCTTGAAGATGATTGATATAGAAAGATCATCGAATGAGTTAGACGACCGGGGAGCAATTCCAACAGGCTAACGATGGGATAACAATTGCCATAATGATTTCCTATTTTTCAAAATGAGCTCACTGACTTTTGCACAGCCTGTGGCTAAAACTGCGTTTTATCATCAACACGGTGATTAATAACGTTCGTCACGCTTCCCTTATCATTCTGCTTCTCCGATTTTATGCTGGTAAATATTGCAATAATATGCAACGTTACGCAAAAACACGAAGCCTTACTCCTTCACACTGAACTATCAAGTCCCTTTCCTGATGTATACATTTTTTTTACTTTTGGCGTTTACATTTTCGTCAAAGTTCATAAAAAGAAGTTTTATTCAAGCAGTATAGTAGACTTGTAATATAATTTACAGTTCGGGTGTTCATTGTATACAGGCTATTTAACAAATTTACAATTTAACAAAAGTGAAAATTGTGTGACTTTGTGCAAGGTTGTCCATCCAGCATTGCTGTTTATGAAGAAGCACAATAACGAGAGGAAGAAAGATAGTGAGACATAAAGAGAGATGACGTTATAGCTCCACTAGCAGCATAATTTCTTTTAGAAAATGGTGAGCTTAAACGAAAACATATAGGATGATATGCCCGCCACTTGTGTGTCATATTTCGCGCAGAAGACAAACTTTGTCAGCGCAAGTTGCTTGTAATTCATACACTCAGCATGGTCAAACGCTCTTTACTTAGTGAAAATGTCCAGAATGCGGAAACTACGTCATGGTTACTGTGTACCTTTCTAGCTATCATAAGCACAATTCTTACAAAGGTTGCTAGCTGCGCGCGATTTTCGACCAACTCCGCTTGGTAATGTCTTTATATCTGTATAAATTAGTTGTTCTGATCGTCTTCTCCTAGGGGGTGTCATGGAAAAATACTTAAACCCCCATTATCTTTAAGGAATGCGTACATACCAACCTTATGCTTGAGGTATAAATAACGGCATAGATATCTTAGCTCTTTTGCGTGATATAGTAAACGAATCAGCTTGTATAACGTATTCGTTAGGCTGTCGATCTCTGAGTTTCACTGTATTCCCTTATTATATTGAAGTTGAATTCAGTTAGCTTCAAAATTACTTGAACATATGTCACCCCACGGACCTTAGTTCTTCTATGTAGCCATGACGGGTTTTCAATGATGTCTTGCTTTTGTCTTCCATTAGTATTGGCTTTGTTGTCATTTTTATCTCTGTGTGGTAATACTGAGTGTGCAAATAACGGTTATCTGCTATCTGCCCGGAGATGCCGTCAAGCAGTTCAAGTTTTTCGGTGGTCAGCATGTATAATCATATATGCTATTTTATCAGTGGTACGATCATTGAGTCATACTCTTGTATTTCTTACTAGCGTATTCCGTCGAGAACGTACATCTGGTTTCACAAATATCTAAAAGTTTTTGTAACAAATAGAAATCTATGGTCCTAACTTATTTAAACTGTTATTTTGGATATTGTATCCAAAATAACCTGACCGAAAGGTCAGTTGTCTCACATAATGGTTATTATATAATAATTGATTCACTTAATTGAAATCTTGTGAGCAACCGTGCTTGTTCCACCACCTGGCGGTTCAGATCTTCACCACACGGTTCTGCTCTCATGGCATCCGATATACGCTTTGGCTGTGCGCGCAACACAGTTACTGCTTAAAATAAAAAGCGAGCATGAACACTGACGTGGGAGTACCACCACCAGACACCGAAGTCAGGAATAAGTATAGTCACCCGAAGGGTTTTCAGTTACCTTGATAACGTAAATTTACTAAACCACTTCAGCCAAACATACCTCGAACGAATGTGCGAAGGCTGTTCGTGATGTCCTCGTTGGTGCCATAGATATGCGAGGCGTCGATGAACGATGTCCTAGAGTTCATTTGTTCTCTCGGTCCTGTGAGGAGTGTAACGCGTCCGCAGTAGATCGCAGGCGTCTCTTCGAAACCGAACAGCTACAAAATTTAGGTGTTAACAAAATGCACGCCATTTCTGTAATTTTCTGGGAAAATCTCGCTCTTTATTTTTGGTCCTTACGCTTAGTGAAACTCCTGAAAATGCGCACTAGTAGATTCCGCGCATTCGAGTGGTGGCGTTGGGTGAATTCTAATGTGTAACGTTGTGCGAGTCAAAGAAAGAAGAAATCTAACCGAAAGTTTAAGTTTTGAAGCGGAAAAAAGGAAAGGGAAAATGCAACACGTAAATCGTAATTATTCTGTGCTTTTTTGCGTGTGCTCAGAGTGTATCCATACAGGTGAAAATGCAGCAAAATTTATTGCGCCACGCTTACGTCATATTGAGCACTGGCATGGCATGACCTCGTAAAAATATTGCTTTTTCTGCATATATGATTCTTTCTATTACGTCAAGCGTTATATCTTTCTGGAATTGGCACGTTATTGCCAAAGTTTTAGGCGAAAAGAGGGGAGCCACAGCAAGAAAAGAACAGGGGTCAAAGAAAGAGATAAGTCATGTTTCAGCACATGTGTGTGCAAAGAAAATCTTTTAAACATCAAAAAAGACACCTTCCTAAAATTAGTTTTCATTGTATAGAATTTGGATTTGAGTGCATGAATCTTAAAGACAACGAGGGTGAACAATATGAAATCCTAAGAGGTGCACTCACCCAGTGGACATTGGCAGCAAGGTAGAGAACGTGTAAACGGCAAAGATGACACGTTGAACTGGGAGTAAAACGTATCATTCCCTAACACCAGTATGGCCAAGCTCTCAGTGTCATTGCTGAAGCTGTTCTGAGCTCCTAAACAAAAAATTTATAATGCGTGGTGAGGCAACACTTCACGTACTAACTTGGTCAGAGATGTCGTAAACTTGAAATTTAGCTTAACATAATTTAGGATTAGGCAAGCGGTGCACAAATATCAAGCAAGATACCACAAAAAAGTTTGTCACACTGTACTGGCCGCTATAGATTAAGTGTTTCAGAGAGAGTAAGTTCTGAATTTACCCTCTTTGTTGGGTTAACCCATGCTTCGAAAAAGAGGCAACTTTAGAAAATTTGCAATAGCGACAAGCACAGTCGTCAGTCATCGCTAAGAAGACTCACGTGCTGCAGGATTATCCGCAGCCCTAATATATGATTGCAGTACTTGAGCAACACAGTAACGGCCGCAGCTGGCGTACGCTCGATCTCTGGTGTTTCCGTGCTCTCGAGAAGAAAAGATTCTACTCTCGTTGCTCGAGCTACCACCCTGAATTTGAAATGTTAAACGGGTAGTGGAGTGTGCTGCCAACACAATCGCATTAGCCTAATGGCTGCGCAGTACAGGGCTGGCACGAGACACTTTTTTATAAGTCCCACATCACCTAAACACTTCACGTTGTCGTTAAAGTCCTTAAAACAGATAAAACACCAATCTTAGATGAAAAAACTTCTTTTGGCCAACAACTCTTGTGATATGCTGATTGACTCACCCCTCTTTCTGTTTTACAAATTGTCACGCTAAAAAATGTTGTCGATGGTGGAATATGTTTATTGGCGCAAAGGCGTGTTTCTCTGGAGGTCGTATATGGGCAATACGTACCTAAGAATGTTTCCAGTGGTGGTAAGGTTCCAGTGGGCGTGAAAGCAATGTCGTGATCAAGGAACTGTCCGAATGCCATTCCCAAGTGGCTGACGCTCCACTCTTGTACGTCCTTCTCCGTGTGCACCATGTACGAGACCAAGCGGGCACTCGGCAAGGGTCGACCACTGCAAGACTTCCGTGGCTCGTTGATGCCTGCGATGAGGAAGCACCATTGCATCACTCTGGTACACGGTGGAAGCACATGATTGATGCACCACGTGTGAGCCCATGTAAGTGGCTTGCAAAGAAGTCTTTTAACGCACCTACTCATTAGTCATTATGGACGTTGGAAGTACACAACATCCCGTATGGTAACATGACTGCGTGGCATATGGTTTCTATCATTATGAGCACTTCGTGTGAATGTTCACCGTCGCCGTCATGTTCTGTATGATAATGTCGTGCACCACGTATTGTGAACAAGCCGCGCACGCATACTGTCATCAAAGTAGCTTTTGTAAAATGCGAGGGCCACGAGTGAGCCAAGGTGGCGGACTGCTTTATGCACATTGTATCCCGATGCAGATGTAGAGTCGGAGGTGGCATAATCTTGTATTTCTGTGTTGTCATGGAACCAGAGGCTATGAGAAGAACTTTCCACCTGCCTCTTATTTTTTGTAGCACTCTAGCACTGTGGCAACGAACCTCAACATGCAGAGAGCGCTGTGCGCGTGTTTGGTGGGAGGTGCGTCCGCTTGCACTGCACGCCTGTATTTCTCGAATTGTTGGTATTGCTACAGAAGATTCAACCTGACCACCAGGAACAAAGGGAAGGTCAGACAGGACAGCTTTGAAATAAGATGTAGAAAGAAGCAAGCAAATGCGGGAAAGTTAGCCATCACGGGTCAGGATGACCCACTGCCATGATGGCAGGTCCTTAGTTCTAGTACAGTGGCTAAGGTACTCGGCTGCTGACCCTCAGGTGACGGGATCGAATCCCGGCTGCATTTTCGCTGGAGGCAAAAATGCAGTAGGCCTGTGTGCTCAGATTTGGGTGCACGTTAAAGAATCCCAGGTGGTCGAAGTTTTCGGTGCCCTCCACTACAGCGTCTCTCATAATCATATGGTGGCTTTGTGACGCTAAACCCCACATATCAACCAATCATCAATCGTCCTTATTTGGCACGTCCGGTTCGCTAACCTCCAGCGGGAGAGGAATGGGGGAATTAAAGGAGAAATAGTATGGAAGAGAGAAATGGCTAAAATTGCGCACACGCTGTCCTGTTTTCATTTAGAGTTGAGAGCGAATGTAAATAATGGCATGGTTCAGAGCAGAATGCCATTGGATGATTTACTCTCGTCCAGCTATGGCGGGGATGCCACCTGCGTCAAGATGCGCCAAACACAAACGTTTTGTCCACAAAGGGGCTTTGAACTTTTACATGCTCGGCATTGGTTTAACTCCCGAGATGCCAGCTTCCTTGGACGTATCTACACCACGCACAGCTAAGCGTAGAAGAACTTGATGCCCAAATTCCTGGGTTCTGCAACGTTGCAAAAGACCAGAAGTCTGTTGATTTTACTCTGGTAGTTTGGTACCCTTCCATCTTTTATTTCTTTTCTCCCCTCTCAGAAGTGTTGACAGGCATTGTGTCTATTCTAAGTGAAATAATCAGCCTGTCTCTTGATTTCCTTTCTTGTTGTGCAAGGTATACAAAATTTTTAGCAGAGTAATAAGGCAGTAACAATAACATTTTGCTCACCGTCGCTGTAAGAAGCCGGCAACAACCTGCGTTCACATGAGTAGGCCTGTCCCCATTGTGAATTCTCCAAGTTGTTGCAGCTGCCATCGGGCTCCCTGTGCCGCTGGAGATGATCACAAAATGTAGGTGCCTGCACCGGGCATGAGCCACACACTTCGCTTCGCTCCAATCCAAGCTTTCGGGTGATGTGCGATAACTCCTCTTTGTCTATCCTACCACGCTCCCCAAGTCTGGAACATGAAAAAGAATAAGCGTTACATTTAATTGCGTTTACGCAAAAGTTCATTTAGCAACATATGTACACAGAACGGAATTTCGGCGTTTGAGTGTCCACTGTTGGACAGGCAGTCAGGAGACCTTGCGCCCCGGCGGCTGCCTCCACCCGCTCCGTGCCCGACACTTGTGTTTCCTAGCGGCGTTGTTTTGGTACCTTAAACCCATGTCGTGGTTTAATAATGATGTCATGGCTTTGGTAACTTAAACCCACCAATCAATCAACTGATGCTTGACTGGCGGAATTTTTTTGTCGTAGTTTGATGCGGAAGCCTTCCATGATTTATCATTGTTTCAGGGGAAAACAGAATGCAACCACATTCTGCATGCTGCCTCACACATTAAAATAAACTGTCACATACTCGGCCAACTTTAAACTTGAGTCAGCAATGTTCGTATCTTTCGAAAACTTCTTGGTCGGCACTCACCGCCAGAGGACCTTGCTCATGGCTTCTTCGTGGACAACGGCAAGCCTTGCATTGCTAAATGCTCTTTTCATTGACCGCTCATTGTCTTGCACATGTGGGGCGAATGAGCACGCTGACGACAACAGTGGGCCATGCTGCTTTACTGGAAAATAAAAATACAGGTAGCTTGCAGGTTTCTTTAGGACTAAAATGAATTCTCTATGACGCAAATCTCAAGTTAACAATTTTCAATTTTCAGTATGCGAAAGCATTGGGGCTAATCAATTCGTTCAGCAAAAGTGATTCACTTCAGTGGCTGTGAGCTCAGTTTAATTTGTTTTGTTTTCTTTGGTAATCACATTGCTATTAAATCAACCATGTATGTGCGATGTGTTAAGCGTTCACGACATGTTTAAAATGAATGCTGTGTCTTGAAACGAGGCTATTGTTGAAGGTTTTAATGATGAGCACCTTGCATCTGACTGTTGATGAGTGACAGTTAAGTGTCTGTAGGGGGGGGGGGGATTGTTGTGATAGCTCTTAGGCTACTGGCATGTGCATTGTCCGGGCTTCGCTATCAACAGGACATTACTTCAATATAAACTCAAAGGTGAAAAGCGGGTGGATTATAGCCTGCAAATCTCGCGAGGCTGAACTCACCGGCAACCTACGGCATCGTCATCATCATCAATACCAGCACTGATGATTTTGTCGATACAGGCGTCGACGAAATGTCAACGAAAAAGAAAGTGTGCAGTAGAATTGACAAACTTAATTCGGACACTTCCCCACAAAACTCTATCGGGGTATCGTGGTGTGTGCGTGTGTGTGTGTGGGGGGGGGGGGGGTTGTATGAATGTTTAAGCGTGTAGCATGCATTGTGCTATGTGTATTGTCAGGAAATTATCTCATACTAGGCCAGCTTCAACTCTGTGTGTGTGTGTGTGTGTGTGTGTGTGTGTGTGTGTGTGTGTGTGTGTGTGTGTGTGTGTGTGTGTGTGTGTGTGTGTGTGTGTGTTTGTGGAAGCATAAATCTTCTCGTGTGCACAGTGAGGAGGTCTCGCGCAACTATAAACACACAGTAGACATTTGCCGCCATTCTGAGCTCACAACTAAACGAAATACTGTATATGGTATCTGCGACTACAGCGGCAGTTTGCAGCGGATATTCAATGCATATAAACAGCCGCTATTTGCGAGCATTGTTGTGTGCTTTTTGCAGGCTGCATAGAGGGCTGTACCAGCCAGAGTTGTTGCGTATAACGTTGCCGCCACAGAAACATCCAAGTCTTAATAGGCTTCGCTTCAAAAGGTAATACATAACGTGGAGATGCGTCGAGAGCAGTAATGAGAATACAGAAAGCGAAAGCGGGACTGCGTACAAGCGAAGAATGTGTCTAAAGACCACGAGTTTAAGGTAAGACGTCGCCGTATGCAGTCACTCACGCCGGGGAAACGAGTGGACGGTCGAGTACAGTGGGAGGTTGAATACAGCTTCGCTGGTAGCTCGTCCCATTATAGCCATTCGACCACGGTTACCTTTTTTTTTTGGGGGGGGGGGGGGGGGGGGTTTGTTTTGGCCTCTGTACCAGCCATTCTGATTCGCCATTCGCATCTTGCTTCAACGCACAATAAATAAAGCGAATTTTTTTATGAAAATCAGATTCAAGTCCTACTTCTTTTTGTTTTTGGGACATTAGTCAAGAACGACTGTAAGCGTATTCTCGTTATTTTGTGTCTGCATTGCTACATCTTTCAATCATTCTAAATTTTATAAGTTATACTATAACATTTCATGGAAGAACGCCTTTGCAACAATGCTAAGACTGTTGCGTTTGCGTTGTGATATCAAGCATGAAAAGTGAAAGCAAAATTCCAGCGCTTCAAATGCACCAATTTCCGTTCCACCAGATGTTTGTTCTGCATTGAAGGCGTCCGCTTGTGGTTCGAGCGACTGTCTGAACTCCTTGACAGTCCTGTCGATATCTTCGGTGGGATAACGTGCTTCGCATGATACTTGCAATGCAATGGCTACGCAAGAAATGAAGAAGGTCGCCCTGCGAAATACGGAAGGTTTGATAAAATTAGCCGCGTCACATAGCACCAATTTATTCACCGGTAAATCAGATTTACACCTCAAAAGCAGCATATTAGGCAACTACTGCAAGTGGTGTGCATTTGTAGTTCCATCATTATTCTAGTACACAAAAAACCCATAGCTTTGCCACAAAGGCGAACCAATAAACGCGGTAGCTACAAATTGTAAGGTCAGGCGCCGAATGACAAGCAGATCAAAACGTGCCCCGCGTTTCTCACGCACAAAGGACGCACGAAACGTACTTACAGGTACAGATGAACGAGAACAAGCGTCTCAGTTGTTAGTTCGCTGTGTCTGAAAAACGTACTCTTTTCGCAAGCGGAATCTGTGAAACGATTGCAGTGGCCTTTGTGCGCCCGGTAACTACAACATAATTGGTCCGGTGAAAGCCGAAGGCCAGCCAAGACGTACGATCCTCCCCACCGTGAGATAAGAGCGCGTGAATAAGTGTCTACCCCCTCCTTTTCGCGGGGTGAAGTACGCGTGGGAGATGAGAGCACGCGCTGCTGCGTCTTGATCATGTGAACGCCTCGTCGACGCATTGCGCTTGTCAGCTCAAAATTTTCAAACCTGGTGAGTGGCCCTTTAAGGCTTGGGCTGAGCGTCCCGTTGTAATCATATGTATCCACCTCTCATTAGTTCTTGAACCGGCCGTAGAGGGCGGTACTTACACATATAACGAAATACATATACGCTGAAAAATCACACGGCACAATACTAGAGGACGTTACTTGTAGTATAACAAATTATAAAAATGACAGCATATCCATGGAGCGAATGATGGTGAGTGGCGCTAAGCGTCTGTCATTCCGTTCATGCTTCCGGCCGTCTGTTCGTTCTTGCTTCCGTCCATCCGTCAATGTGTTCGGTCGTCCGTCCATTCGTGCGTCTATTCATGCGTTCACCTGTGCGTCAGTCCGTCCCTGCGTTCGTCCATGTGTCAATGTGTCCATCTGTTCATTCGTCCGTCCATCCGTCCTTTCATGTGTCCATCCGTTCGTCCATCTGTGCGTCTGTCCATGCGTTCATTCATGCGTCCGTCCATCTGTGCGTCCATCCATGCGTCTGTCCCTGCGTTCATCCAGACAGACGATGACATCATCCAGACAGACAGACGATGGACGGGCGCGTCCAGTGGATGATTCACGGTTTGCCGATAAAACGTATGATACGCGCAAGCCGGCGGTGGCTCGCACTCGAAGATAGAACACCAATGTGCGAGCGCGAGAGAAGATATGATTGACGTCACACGAAGACGTTAGCCTTCGTGTGTTCGTCCACGGCGCTGTACGCTAAGGGGTGAGGTGTAGTAAAGTAAAAGCCATTTTGGCACGCGTGCGCATTCAAAAGGTCAGCGGATGGACAAGGCTGCCGAGTGGCGTGTGCGCAAGGCGGCGGCAGCTTGCGCTCGAAGACAAAACACCGATGTGAAAGCGCGCGAGGCAGAAGCGTGCTGTGAAGCTTCGTGGCGGTGCCGACAAGATCCCGGCGTACAAAAACGCAAGGCTGAAGCGGTGCGGCAGCGGCGTGCGGACCCTGTTTCGCTCCACTCTTCATCATTCACCCCGTGGATATGCTGTCTGTTTTGTGCGTGTGTGCCAGATAAGGGTGCGCTAGTGAGCGTCTACCCCCTTCTCTCTGCGGGGCGAAGTACGCGTGGGAGCTGAGAGCACGCGCCGCTGCGTCATGACGATGTGATGACGCGCGCTCATTGCGCCATCTTGCTGGTAATGTTGCAAACACGATACCCCACCCCCCCCACACACACACAAGATGCCCGCCCCCAGCGGTAACTTGTAGATATAAATAGCTTGCCGTTTGAAGGTTCAAGGACGTGATTCTCTGTGGCTCAGGCAACAAAGAGAAAAAAAGCTTCTCCGCGGTTCAGTGGTTAACCCCTCGCACTCACGTTTCAAAGGTCCCAAGTTCAATTCCACGTGCGGAAGTCTTTTTTTATCTTTTTTGCTGTCATTTTCATATATATAAATACGTATACATATACGTTGAGTGACAGTGACGCCCACGTCGACGTCGATGCCGGCGGCAAAATCTAGCCAAGAGTGTTCATACAATTGCTATCGCAATAAAAAACCGTGACTGATCTCTCCTTCTAAGAATCGGTATACCACAAAAGTGAAACACGTCTTCATAGAGGTAGCTGAGCTTTTGGGAGCACCATAATTACGGCGCGCGTAGGTGTGCCAGTGGGGTTGTCACTTGGTATTGTTTTGTATTTCGCGGCATTTGTAGTTAGCATAAAAACACTATTAATTAACAGATATAAAGCTCGTAACTGTCTAATCAAACGTTTTGCAAACCAATCTACGACTTCCTCATTGAAATTTGTTATCTATCGTCGTTCCTTCAAAAATTAGTTAAATAAACAGATCTAATTAAAAATATTTCAGAACACAACAAATAGTCTAACTCCAGGCAACGGTCAGCAACACGCATTTGGTCGAACTGTAAGTGCGTAAGTCGGCATGCACCGTAAGTGCGCTAGTCGGCAAACTAAAGATAGCTGGGGCATCCTGTATATTTTAAAACGTCATATCCGTGACGGAAATGCATCAGCGGAGCTGTGGTTGACCCCAGCATAGAACACTTTCCTGTTAAGAAAAATATAATCTAGGAGCTTCTTTTCTATGGAGATAAGTGAGAAAGCGAGGCTCGGCCTGTGCGTGTCTGACGTAGTCATTCAAATATTTACCTATTGTGCACGAGCAGCCCTTCTTCTTGCGTTTCATCGCTTTATGATCGAAGTAATTTCCGAAAATACTGAAAACAAATGACGGTCCCCACAAAGCTCATGCCCACAGAACAATTTATAACACGAAAGTGTTTTATGCCTCAGGAGTTTTTCAGTGCAAAAGTATAAACAGCTACGCAAGAAAGACGAGGACAAGCGATGTTTCAATACCAACTAGCCTGATCTGTCACGTT